TGTGAGGTCTTAAGGATGTGGATGAGAAGGAGTGGCGTGTTCTAGGTGACAGATGGATCGGGCCCCCTGCTGAGCAAATAAAGAGTGAATGAGTGAATGAAGATGACGTTGCTGTCAAAGTGACTAGATTAGTCAGCATTGGTAGTTAGGAATCTGGTGAGGAATATAATATTTTTTGTTTGTTTTTGAGACAGCGTTTCACTCTGTTGCTCGGGCTGGAGTGCAGTGGTGGGATCTTGCCTCACTGCAACCTCTACCTCCTGGGTTCCAGCAGTTCTCATGCCTCAGCCTTCTGAGTAGCTGGGATTACAGGTACACACTTCCACACCCAGCTAATTTTTATATTTTTAGTAGAGACAGGGTTTCACCATGTTGGCCAGGTTGGTCTCGAACTCCTGGTCTCAAATGATCCGCCTGCCTTGACTTCCCAAAATGTTGGGATTATAGGTGTGAGCCACTGTGCCTGGCTAGGAATAGAATGTTATAGATATTGGAATCCAGATTTTGGCTTTAATATAGGAATTAGTAGGAAGTGGCAGGTTTGAGGGAATTTGTTAAAAGTAAAGCCAGTTCATTGTGGCCACCTCCAGAATGTCTTCAACAAAGGACTATTGAAGAACCTTGGAGATCTTTACTTCTAACTTACCTAATGAACTGCTAGATTTTCTCCATTTAAGCTGGATTTGGGGGCTTCTGGGGACAGAGGGTTGTGCTGAAGGAAAGTGTAGGGATAAAGTAGAGTTGCATGACAGCAAGGTCTGGCACCCTGGAGATGCTCAGTAGATGTTTGCTGACCGAATGAATGTGTTTACAGATGATGGTTAATTTATGGGAGCAGATGACATTTCTTAGGTTCTAAAGACTCAAGATCAGGATACAGTAACAAGTTTAGCTCTTTTGGAAGTTAAAAATAAATGCCCAGGGTTAAAAAATAATTTTAGATTCTGAAAAGCTCTCAACCGATAAAGGGAACTTTAACGCTTCAGGTGTATGTGCAGTATGTCTGCTAAGGTGCTTTGGGGTCTGTAACTCTATACAATTAACCTGAGGTCACTCCGTTCCAATACAACACTGGAAAAGCCTTGAGCTATTTTAGTAAACACAACAATCTAGGAGATCCATGTGTTAAAACCGACAGAGAGATAGGGAAATAGCTGTTTTAAAAATACTCTGTTAAAGGGGCGATCTTCCCTCATCCCTGATTTTAATACTAGTTGTTACTGAAAAGGGCGTTAATATTGAATATTGACTAAAGTTTTCATGCTGCTGTTTCAGGCACAGAAAGTAGCTGGCAGGTCACATCCCTGCTATAAATAGGGGAAGATGTGAGTGTAGCATGGTGAGTGTGTGTGTGTGTGTGTGTGTGTGTGTGTGTGTGAGAGAGAGAGAGAGAGAGAGAGTGGGTGATTTGAATGTAAAGGCATATTGAGAAGATATAGCATGTCTACTACTGTAGTTTAAGTTTCCCTTAACCTTGAAAAAATACCAAGTAAGGTGACCGTTAATATTTTTTCCTTTCAAATTAATTTTAGAATTAGAAAAAAAATCAATGAGCAACTTAAATCTACAGTCATGTAAATTAAAGACCATTAAACAAGGTCTAATTTTCTTAATGGTTCTTCAAAACTCCAAAGGGAGGCTTTGATGTCTCACAACCTGTTTCTTTTTTTTGAGATGGAGTTTCTCTCTTGTTACCCAGGCTGGAGTGCAATGGTGCAACCTTGGCTCACCGCAACATCCGCCTCCTGGGTTCAAGCAATTCTCCTGCCTCAGCCTCCCCAGTAGCTGGGACTACAGGCTGTGCCACCATGCACAGCTAATTTTTGTATTTTTTTTAGTAAAGATGGGGTTTCACCATGTTGACCAGGATAGTCTCGATCTCTTGACCCCGTGATCCACCTGCCTCGGCCTCCCAAAGTGCTGGGATTACAGGCGTGAGCCACCGCGCCTGGCTACGACCTGTCTCTTAATTCAACCCAGGAGAAACTTGAAACCTAACATCTCCCAGTTGACAAGCTAGATGAGAGTCTTTTTTTCTTTGTTTTAACAGTGCCCTCTTTTGGGCAGTTCCCCTCAAGTGACGCCCTAGTGATGCCTTGGATTACTCCCGAAATCAGCTTTCAAGTCTGTGCTCTGACAGGCAGCAAGGTGGATTTCAGGTCACCAGGCCTGGCAGGCTCTGACGCCAGCGGGGAAGAGCAGTTGTCAGTCTCATAAGGCAGGCCTCTCCTCCCACCTTGGTTGTGGGGGCTGTGCTCAGTGCATCCTCTGTGGGAGCTGTGATGAGGGTAACTCCGTTTCCTGGCCAAGAGACCTGGAGAGATATGGGTAATGCGGGCTGCTTTTCCAGGCCATAGTGCCAAGATTGGGTGGGCTATTTGAGACTCACTGAAAGTGAGTCTGAGACTGAGCCAGGCCAGGGTGTCTGCGCCTCCAGACCTGGATTTTCTAGATCTCTTTGCAGTCATGGCTCCTGGCCCCAGACTGCCCTGAGCCCTTGAATCGGAAAACTGCCTGGGCTAACTTTCTGGGCAATGAAGTAATAGCAAAATGGTAGGCATAGATTTTAACCCTAGGGAATAATTTTATTCTGAAAACCTTTGGGTTTGGTTTAAATGTGATATTTTCCATGACTTTGGTTTAGCCCCAGGCCAAACTCTGAGAAAAGATCCTTCTTTATTCTTTGAGAAGTTTTTAGAAGACTTTTTTCCTTACCAGTGAATTCATAAAAATGATATTTGCCTTTTGTGTTTTGTTTAATCTGAGACAATTGGGAAAATATTTAGTTTTTACTCACATTCTATATACAATGGTGAAAATGAACCTCCAACTGGTGATCTGGAGTCCTGAGTGTCCCTGGGGTTCCTGACTTTTGCGTCTTAAGAGAAGTTTGGGGAGGGGCCCTTCCACCTAGGATTAGGGCCTGGTTGTTGATTTAGAGGGTGTGGAAAGAGGACACATCTCAGTGAAAAGAAAGGCCTGGGTGGAGTCCCAGCTCTGGCACTCCCTGGTGTGTGTCTAGTTACCTGACCTCTCCCGCTTCAGCTTCCTCATCTGAAAAATGGGTGTTGAAACAGCACTCACTACTCACCCTGTAGTGTTCTGATGAGAATTATACATGAGCACACGAAAGGGGTTGTAAAGAGCTGAGTGAGTGTGAGCTGCCATTGTGGTTGAGACTTGAGTAAGTCATCAGAATTTGAGAACAGGTTAGAAAACTATCAACTCCTAAAGCTGAAATGGTTAAGAATTAACTCAGAATGAGTGAGACTGGCAACTTGTGGAAGTGACTCAATTGAAATGACAGTTTATTGAAATCTTTTACTAATGAGACTGAGCAAACAAAGTCTGTAGGAGACAGTGGGAAATTGGCATCCGAAGACAGCTGAGGTCCAGTTGTCCAGTTAGCTGTATTTTCATCTTGTCCTTGGATGGCAGGCTGTATTATCAGCAGGGATGGGTGAGGTGGAGCTGAAATGGAGGTGGCCAGGTTGATCGGCCCTGTCCAGGGTGTGGGTATTATGGCCAAGGGGAGTTGTCTCCATATGTCCTCACTGATGTGGGCCATGGGCACATCCTAATGGGAACCTGTCTTCCCCGCAGGGTCCCTGTACTGCCTGTGCTGATGGCAGATGTGAGTGCTCTCGGTTGCTGCTCAAATGTTGCCATGCTTTGTAATCACATAGGAAGTTTTGAAGAATGTGGATTCCTAGGTTCACACCTCCTTAGATTCATATTTAATTGGGCTGAGTTACTGGCCTGGCCATTGCACTTTTCAAAGCTTCTTAAGTGATGTAATGTGCTGCAAAGTTTGAGACCTGCTGCTCTTGGTTTGGCAGTAGCTGGAGATGACTTTTTTGGTTGATCCGTTTGGGTCCCATGAGTTGGCTGATGTGGTGTCACTCAGACTGCATGCTTCTGTAGGATGCTGAGGCTCTACCTTGGATGCTGAGGCAGTGCCTTGGATGCTGAGGCCGTACCTTGGATGCTGAGGCTCTACCTTGGATGCTGAGGCCCACCCTTGGATGGTCCACCACAGAGGACTCCTTCACCTGAAGCTGACCGAGCTTCCCTGTTTGGCATCTCCTAAGCTGCTGTTGTGCCTACCTCTTGAAGCAGGGAGATGCTTTGTGTGTCCTTAGTGTGCTGGGCTGAGAGGACAGGAGACTACATGAAAGCGTTGGTTGTCTCTTTCCAGCTGGCTGTAACTAGGAAGACTTTGAATCTTAATTTACTTCATTTACCATCAGTTGTCTGGGTGAAGCATTTGTACTTCACCTTCTTTCACTACCCACATTGGGTAGTGAAATTATGTGGAACATTGGATGTGGATTCAGCCCATTGTAGGTGTGAATCCCACCCCCCAGCCCCACACAGCTTGTCTCCCTGCCCTCTCCATCCTGGGCAAATGTCCAAATAGGAAAAAGTGTCTGGACACCGACATGGGGAAGCCCAGCCACCCCAGCCTCATCTGCACCCACCTGTCACTCATATCCATGAGCACCTGCAGAGATTGATTTTGATGAATAGCTAGACCCTTAAAATGACGGAATTGATTTGGCTTGACTTGGGCAGTAATTTCTGGCTGCTGTGACCTTCAGGTTTTGAATATTTTGTTTCTGGAAGCTCTGATAGAATGAATAGCTTTGTATATTTATATAATTTGAAATGGCTAATCATCATGCTTTAAAATAGGCTTTGCTTCTAAATATGATTATCACTTTGCCTTGTTTACATTTTTATACTTCAGGATATTTTTTTGGTAAACTTAAGTAGGAAAGAGGATGGGGCTGCTTTTTGTTTGCATAAAAAGTTTGTTTTTGGTTAAAGACTGTGGTATATACATATTTTGCTATGAATGGTTCTGCAGTGATTTATTTATATGGTCTAATCCTTAAGAGCTGAAAGTAGCATTCAAGAACATTGTTAACACCGAAAGGGCTTTTATTAAAATCTATGATAATTGTATCTTTTGTGTGTTTTTTTTTTTTGGTTTTCAGGTTTTCAAAACCCTCGGCACAGATGTCGTGAAGTCTGCATTTGAAGGTTATAATGCTTGTGTCTTTGCATATGGGCAAACTGGATCTGGAAAGTCATACACTATGATGGGAAATTCTGTACGTTGTTTATACTGTGTGGGAAGGAAATTTCTCATTATCTTTCTCGGGACTGGTAGAATTATCTCTTTTATCTATTTGGTCTACTGACTTTTCGTGTTCTGATCATTCTTTAGTAATAAGATAAAATTCAGTAATAACTTGGACTGAATTTCCTTTGAGAGATTTTAAATTAGGAATAGTTTTAAGTATATAAGCATGAATAATGGATGCAACTCCCAGTTCATTTTCTGTTTTTAAAGGCCTTATAATCTTATCAAAAAAAGTGTGTTAGGCCCATAAGTAATTTATTCTTCTTTTCTGCCAACACAACAGTTTGAATAAAATTACTGAAGTCTGTTCTTTTTAAAATTATTCCAAACATTTTTCCCCAAGAAAAAATGTAAAAAAAACCCCTACTCTTTGATGGAAAGGTACTACAGAAATCCTGCAAATACATTAAAAAGTTAGAATTGTATATTTTATATAGAGTTTGTATATTTATAAACACACTTATGCAGTTTTATAAGCTATGTAAATTAACTGATATTAATGTTATACTTCCCCCAAAATACAGAGCAGCAAAAACTAGGAATTATTGCAAGAACTTTACCTTGTTCTGTGTTTTCTCCAGATTTAGATCGTGCTTGTGTTTTCTTTTTTTTTTTTTTTTTGAGATGGAGTCTTACTGTGTCACCTAGGCTGGAGTGCAGTGGCGAGATCTCGGCTCACTGCGACCTCCACCTCCTGGTTTCAAGTGATTCTCCTGCCTCAGCCTCCCGAGTAGCTGGGACTACAGGTGTGTACCACTGTGCCTGGCTCATTTTTGTATTTTTAGTAGAGACGGGATTTTACCATGTTGGCCGGGCTGGTCTTAAACTCCTGACCTCAGATGATATTCCTGCCTCAGCCTCGCAAAGTGCTGAGGCATCGCGCCTGACCTGTTTTTTTTTTTTTTTTTTTCTTATATCATAGTGAAAGCTCTGTTCATTGCCTGGCAAACCTATGGCATGGTCGAGATATAGAGACACTAGTGGAATATGACTGAGGGCTTCCTGCTGGCACACATGTGGTGTCTTTAATGCTGAAGGTTTGGTGGTTCATGGAGGTCGTGTGTTAGAGAACAGATCTTTCCAGAATAAATTATTCAGGACATGTAACCTCACTGCTTACATCCAGGCTTTTCCTTTACACAAGAAGTCAGTAAGTGCTGTTTGGCAAGTCCTCAATCTGAAAAGGGAAGAACAAATGAGAGGAACACACAGCTAATTTTGAGAGTTTCACATTTCCTTTTATCATTACTTCTCACTTCCTCTTTTCCTACTGCGCCTTTGGAAAAAAATAAACTTCTAAAAGTGAAATTTTTATGTTGATTCCCTAGTATCCATTCTATGTAAGTCAGACACTTATGAAGCGCTCACAGGTTACAAGTGTTTTTCTCTGATCTTATAATTGAGTGCTGCTTGGGTATCTTTTCTTCGTTTTAAAGTAAGATGCATTTTTCCTTATTAAGAATTGGTACTGATTTAATGGTACAAAGAAAAAACAATTTCTGAAACAGTCATGCTCTCTTTTGTTTTTTGGGCGTAGGGTTGGGTGAAGGTAGGGAGGGAACGTGGGAAGAAGCATCGATGCTCTGAAATCTTGGTTTCCTAACAAGATCATTTTGCCTGATTTTTATTATATTCTGAGGTTCATCAGCTCTTTAAGGCTGACTGAAACATGAATATTATTGAATATTACACCCACATTGTATAAATAATATGATGTATTAAAATCTTTCATCAAAAAAGGCCAGGGTAGTGATTACTGTATCAAACAAGGGACATACCATGTGTTTTTGTTTTGAAACGGAGTTTTGCTCTTGTTGCCCAGGTTGGAATGCAGTGGTATGATCTTGGCTCATTGCAGCCTCTGCCTCCCAGGGTCAAATAGCTGGGATTACAGGCATAAGCCACCGTGCCTGGCTAATTTTTGTATTTTTGGTAGAGATAGGATTCCACTCTGTTAGCCAGTCTGGTCTCAAACTCCTGACCTCAGGTGATTCACCCGCCTCGGCCTCCCAAAGTGCTGGGATTACAGGTGTGAGCCAGTGCACTGGCCAGCATGTGTTTTAATGTGGTCCTGTTATCTAAGTTTTTAAGACAATTATTAACTGCTGTGGGGATTACTAAGTTTTTCTTGATACTTCTTTTTTTGCCTGGTGTATATTTTTTACCTACCTTGGTCATTTGAGCATATATTTTTAATGTTTATTCTACAGTTTATACACTGTCTTTAAAAGTTAGAGATTAAATTTCCTTGTTCGTAAGCCATGATTTAATTAACAGACTGATAACTATATATTATCAGAGTCCCAGCATGTATAAATCAGAAGCCTCAATCATCTCATTTCAGAGAGTAGGAAGCAGTCCTGGAGGGGGCACATGGCATGGGCTGTGGTAGGCCAGGGGTTGGCTCACAGGCCACTTGAGTCTTAAGTTCACGCCAGCAAATTGCAAATTCAGTCATCAGTTGCTTTTAAGTGACAGCTGTGACATTGGTCCTTCCCATTGCAGGGAGATTCTGGCTTAATACCTCGAATCTGTGAAGGGCTCTTCAGTCGGATAAATGAAACCACCAAATGGGATGAAGCTTCTTTTCGAACTGAAGTCAGGTAGAGTCTGTCACCTGAGTAACCGTGTGTGAGCTTGATTAGAGTCAGTGCTGGTTGGCTTCCACTTGGGTGCTGGAAATGAATAAGACCTTTAGATTCTAAAGAAAAAGAGTCTTCTCTTTACCCCTCCTGTGATTATGGGTTGGGGATAAAGCTTAAAGTTTTAGTGATTTTCTTGGGTACACAATTTGGATAAGGATTTGGGAGCTGGCAGAAGTCATAGCTTGGTCAGAAACTAACGTAGGATATTCATCTCAGATGGAGTGATCTTCTGACTTTTTAAGTGTATACTCAATTACTTGCTTCATTCTTATAGCTTAGTAAGGTTTATATTATTCTGTATGTTGGTTGGATCACTATAAATCTAATCTATGAGTAAATCTGAGTGATTGAAGTGCTTTTCCCTCCTTGAAATTAAACCTATGTGGAGAGCTAGTCTCTTTGGTAGTTTCAACAGCAGACATGGCAGTGTAGGGTTTTTACACCTGCTTGACTGCTGTGTAGTGTTGGGCAAGTTATTTAAGTCACACTAATCCTCCCTTGCCTAACCTATAAAATGAGGATAGTAGTGGTACCTATCTCTCAGTTATTGTAGGGATTCAATGAAATAATCTGCATCAAGTGCTTAGCATGATACAGTAAGTCCTCACTTAATGTTGCTTCTTGTTTTTTTTTTTTTTTGAGACAGAGTCTCACTCTGTTTCCCAGCCTGGAGTGCAGTGGCATGCTCTTGGCTCACTGCAACCTCTACCTCCCAGGTTCAAGCGATTCTCCTGCCTCAGCCTCCCAAGTAACTGGGATTACAGGCGCCTGCTACCACGCCAGGATAATTTTTGTTATTTTTTGTAGAGATGGGGTTTCACCATATTGGTCAGGCTGGTCTCAAACTCATGACCTCAAGTGACCATCTGCCTTGGTCCCCCCAAAATGTTAGGATTACAGGCATGAGCCACCATGCCTGGCCTAATGTTGCTTCTTGATACTTTCTTGGAAATTGTGACTTTAAGCAAAACAACATGTAATAAAACCAGTTCTTTTTCTCATCAACATTATAGCAATGTGACGTTGAAGGAAGTGATGTTATTTGAGGACCCACTCTATGTCCTTTCCCTAAAAGTTGCACTTTCCAAGAACCTGTCAATGACCTTAAGTGAGGACTCTGTACCTAATACGTAGTCACCACTCATAAATGGTAACTGCTGCTGTCACCATTTATGTAAGCATGTTGCTGCTGTTATGTGTTGTTACTGATATTAATGTCTGAAATAATTTTTCAGAATTCAATTTTTTTAAAACTTTTAGCTACTTAGAAATTTATAACGAACATGTGAGAGATCTACTTCGGCGGAAGTCATCTAAAACCTTCAATTTAAGAGTCCGTGAGCATCCCAAAGAAGGCCCCTATGTTGAGGGTAAGAGTGGATATTTCACAGCCATATTCTTTTTGGGATCTATGTAAAAATAATGCTTTCAAAGAACAAATACAGCATAATGGTAAGCTTTTAAAAATTTCTTTAATTTTGGGATTTTATTACAGTGAAAATGACATGAGGTGTCACTACATGATGTTCTGTTAGTGAATTTATGCTTCACTGGGCATATGTTGATTTTATGAGGCTTGCCAATGGATTTCCACTGTCTTTAAGAAATCTCTGGAATTTTCTTTTCCAATTGTAAGGCAAGATATGCAAACCCGCAGTCTGTCTCTGTAAATGGCATTGCATTTTTGCAGTGTATTTTTAATGACCCTCAAGGTGATACATGACAGTAAAGATATTCTGAACCTTTGCCTGTTAACAAGTGCATTTGGAGGATTTCCTCTGTGGTTTTCAGCATCCGTGCTGTGGTACGCTAGTTCTGGCCCAGCCAGCTATGAGGAGTGCCACCACCAACGATGAGTACAGGACTGGCCTTTGCTGCTTATTTAAGAATTGGCTGGATTTAAAGCTGTCCTTGTAATGAAGCTGATCTTTGCTCCTCTGTATAAGGCGACTCAGCATGGCTGGCCTGCAGGAATCGTACGTAGAGACACGCTTTCATGTTCTTCATTTGTGTCCCTGTGGATGCGGGACTGAACTGGTCACAGGTTTAAAGTTCTTTCTGGTTTTAATTGTCTTCTTTTTCTGGGAGATAACAGATATACCAACAGGACCCCAACTGTATTTTAATAAATTTTCACTTAAACTTTTGCCTTTTATGCCCAAAGCAAAGCAGGGTGTGCCAGTGTGTAGTTGTTCCGTGAGCTGTGGTATAGCTGTTACTTTTAAGAGTTTTTAGCCTAACTCATGCCTTCATGTTTTCTGATAAGTGTCTTCCCATATGTGAAAACATATAAAGCTGGTATATGAAGAGACAGAGTAACAAAACAGGGCAGACTTCCAGAATCTGACCTAGATACTTAGGGGAATTTAGTTTATAATCAATGTGCTATTCAAACATTACGGAAATTATCGGAGGAATTATTAAGCTGTCTGGGAGGGAAAAAAAAGTAAATTGGTACCACAACTCAATTTTACACCAGGACAAATGGTAACTAGGTTGAAGATTTCAAACATTAAATATCAAAATGACTATAAAAATCCGCAGTTAATTTTTTTCCGGAAACCTATAGGAAAGAAGGCTTTTAAAAACTTGACTTAAAACTCAGAAACCATAAAATAAATGATGTTAAATTTGAAATGGCTAAACAAAGAATAGCAAAATAAAACACCATGCTTGGCAGAAACACTGTTAGCAAAGTAAAAAGTTTAATTACAAAATAGGAAAAATACTTTGAATTCAAGTTTTAGAGAAAGGACTAATTTTCCAGGCATGTAAAGAGCTCCTATAAATCAGTAAGGACAGACTCAACAACCAAGTAGAAACATGAACAAAGAATATGACTAGACTGTTCATAGAAATAGAAATACACATAATTTTTAAATGCAGGAAGGAATGCCTAGCCTCACTCCTACTAAGAGAAAAGCAAAATAAAAATACATGGAGGTAACATTTGTCACCCATCTTTGGCATATATAAATAATACTGGTAAGACAATATTGTGGAGCGTGTGGAGAGGCAAGCACTCTTATACCTTGCTACTGCTGGGTGTAAATTGCCCTATATGGAGAACAATTTTGCAATAGTTATCAAAATTTCAACTACCTATTTGTCTAGAAATTCCACCTCTAAGAATTTATTCTGTATAAACATTTACAGGCATTTGAAAAGACTTACGTGCAAGATTATTTGCAGCAGCATTACTCATAATTGGAAATAAAATATAAACAACTTCTGTAGTTTCCATGGTTAAATTGGTCATGGTACATGTGTATGATCCAATCCCCTGCAGCCTTAAAAATGAATGAGGAAACACCTTACCTGATACAAAATGTTCTTTAATGTATTATTACAATTATTTATTTATTTTTCTTTTCTTTTTTCTTTCTTTCTTTTTTTTTCTTGGCTACATACATGTGTGCATGGCCAGTATTACTACATTTAAAAGCAGAGTGCAAACTAATGTTTATGGTATGCTACCATTTGTATGTAAGGGGAAAGAGAGAGTTATATATAAATATGATTGCTTGTATATATATAGGTTATTTCTAGAAGGGTGTGTAACATTTGGTTGCCTGACAGAAGGGGACGTAGGGAGCTATAGCATAGGGATGGGGACCCTTTACACAACGTAACTGTGTAGCCTTTGACTTTAGAACCATATAAATGTTCTAAAAAGGTTAATAAAACAAGTTTTAAATGATTTAAAAAATGCTTTTGGGTTTTGCATGAAAGCCGTGCTTTTACATTTGTCTTCTGTGTGCTATAACTAATGCTAATGAGGTTGACAATATAATAGCTAACCTTTGTCTTAAATACCTTATGTCAGAGGCCCCTAACCCCTGGGCCACAGACTGGTGGTATGGCCCGTTGGGAAGTGGGCCGCACAGTAGGTGAACAGCCAGTGAGCGAGCGTTACTGCCTGAGCCCCGCCTCCTGTCAGATCAGTGGCGGCATTAGATTCTCATAGGAGCGCCAACCCTATTCTGAACAGCACGTGTGAGGGATCTAGGTTGTGTGCTTCTTAGGAGAATATAACTAATGCCTAATGATCTGAGGTATGGAACAATTTCATCCCCAATCTGTTCTTCCCACCCCCCATCCGTGGAAAAACGGCCTTCCATGAAACCGATCTCTGGTGCCAAAAAGGTTGGGGACCGTGGCCCTATGTAGTAGGAACACATGATCACAGGAGGTAACTGAGGCACAGGGAAGCAAAGCAGCTTGACCATAACTGTGTAAGTGCATAAGTCCATAACTATGTAATAACTAGTAAGCAGCAGAGCTGGGATTCGACCCCAGCCACCTAGCTCCCAGGTCTGTGTTATATACCACCACCCTAGAGAGACAAGTGAGGTCTTTAGACAGGTCAGCAGATTCTGGAGTTGTGTATGATTTCATAGAGGGTAACTTTGTATTCCATTTCCTATATATCAGGGGGATTTCTTCACCCCTTCCATTTTGTTTTCAGATTTATCCAAACATTTAGTACAGAATTATGGTGATGTAGAAGAACTTATGGATGCGGGCAATATCAACCGGACCACCGCAGCAACTGGGATGAATGACGTCAGTAGCAGGTCTCATGCCATCTTCACCATCAAGTTCACTCAGGTAAGGGCAGCTGCGGGCCGGCTGGCTTCCTCCCTGAGGTCTTTAGTTGCTGATTAGCACCAGCTGAGGACTGATCATTGTTGAACCAGGAGCAGCAGCAGGTAAAGGTGACTGACTGTCATTTTCTTGTTAATTAGAGTTGAACATGTGCTGTGCACCGAGTTTCTCTGTGGTTACAATCACAGTAATTTGAAATATCCTGATGTGTACCCTTAAGAAATACTTAGCAGACTTCCACCCTGTTCTAGACATAAAACAACTTGCTCTGTGCTTAATTAAGCAAAAGTTTTCATTGTTGCAAACTCTGTGGGAAATAATGGATTGCCAGTCAGACCAGCTGGAAGCCAAGGTGAGTAACACGGCGAAGTGCATTACCGCTCCATGGCTCTCACCTCGCAGTGTTGATTATGATTATTAGAATAATATCAAAGGGCAGCGAATATTTATAAGTACTAATGTAAGAATTCATTATGATGAAGAGGTGGAGAGCATCTTGAACATGTGTGGAAGTTACTGAGGGTTAATATTTTAACACCGAGGCCAGTAGAACAGATGAATGGAAAAATGTAGGGTTCTGTCGGGGCCTAAGCATGCGCTAGTAACTTGGGGAGGGCCTCATCTGTGTTAACAGTTGGACACACTGGATACAAAGAGGCAGTATTTTACTAATGAGGGAGATCAAGAGCAAAAAAATGAATCCTCTAAGGCCAGTCAGAACAACTCTCCTTAAATTCTCACATCCTAATCTGTTAGGCCTTTCCTTTGGATTTACTCTGGATGATTGGGTTTTCTCCTGCTTTCTGGTTTGTGCCTGATTAGCATATGACCATCTCTAATTTGGTCTTTGTTTTTCGTGTGTGTGTGTGTGTGTGTGTGTGTGTGTGTGTGTTTGAGACATGTTTTAGCTCTGTTGCCCAGGCTGGAGTACAGTGGTGGGATCACGGCTCACTGCAGCCTTGACCTGGACTCAAGAGATCCTCCTACCTCAGCCTTTCAGGGAGCTGGGACTACGGGTGCACAACACCATGTCCAGCTAATTTTTTTTCAAGTTTTTGTAGAGATGGCATCTCACTATGTTGCCCAGCCTGGTCCTGGACTCAAGCGATCCTCCCACCTTCGCCTCCCAAAGTGCTGGGATCACAGGCATAAGCTGCTATGGCTGGCCACCATCTCTCATTTCTAAGGTTTTAATTTCTATAAAAATACGGTAATTTTGGGGGGGCATTTTGGTTACAAATGCAACACATAGATCAGAAGTCTTTGAGAATATAAAATTTTGGTAGAATTCAGAAGCAAGGAATATAGTATTTAAGATTTTACATAAAAAAATTAATTTGTAAAACAAGGTGTTTTAACATCCGATAATGGTTGAATGCTCTTTTCTGTACTTGTCTGTGTTGATCATATTTTGGAGAGCTTTTGTTTCTGGAAGGCTGGGATTCTACATGAGAATGAAAGTCATTATTTGCTTACTTATACTTCTCTGCTGAGTGCCACTCAGTGCCTAGTTTCCTGTTCTGCCACAGCCTGATTCAGCAGGGCTTTGTGGAGAAAGGAATGATTCTTCAGAAAGTTTAAGAATCATATGCAGTAACTACTGTTGCATTGGATTAAATTTGAGAGATATCTATAATCAATATGAAGGCCAATAAAACAACAAAATTGTAAAATGCTTACCCTGAGAGATCTCAGTGAGGAGTGGAAAATAATTAGAATTTGTATCATCAACAACATCAGGGCCCTTTGCACCTCTTCAATTTTATTTATTTTTTATTTTACCACAGGCTAAATTTGATTCTGAAATGCCATGTGAAACTGTGAGCAAGATCCACTTGGTCGATCTTGCCGGAAGTGAGCGTGCAGATGCCACCGGAGCCACCGGGGTTAGGCTAAAGGAAGGGGGAAATATCAACAAGTCCCTCGTGACTCTAGGGAACGTCATTTCTGCCTTAGGTATGCTTATGCCCGACTGCTGCCTCCTCTTTTTCCTCCTCTTTTTCTTCATGTGTAATATATGTGTTGCGTACCGAGGTACTATCCTCAAGGTTTTTGAAGCAAAATTAGAGGAAAAAAGTTTTCTAATTGTCCTCTTTTTCTTTCTTTTTATAGCTGATTTATCTCAGGATGCAGCAAACCCTCTTGCAAAGAAGAAGCAAGTTTTTGTGCCTTACAGGGATTCTGTATTGACTTGGTTGTTAAAAGATAGCCTTGGAGGAAACTCTAAAACTATCATGATTGCCAGTAAGAGTTTTGATTTACTTTCCTGAGCATACAAAATTTTCTGTGAACTAACTGTAAATATTTAAGTTTGAAGTGTTTTATAGGAAATAGCACCCTTTACATCTTAAAAAAGTAATGGTTTTTCTATCTTGAAGAAAATCACCTACTGTGATCCTGCTATGATCCAGTCTGTAGCATCATATTATTAACTGTTATATTTTGGAAGCTGTGATAACATGCAGAAAGACTTTTCAGCTTTTATTTGCTTGAAGTACAAGGTAGAAACTTTAACTTCACTACCCCATAGGAGAAAATCACAAGGACACAAAGTAAAAATAACCCAATTTTGTTTTTTTTATTTAAGGCAATAAATGGGAAATTTAAAATTAAGAATTGGGAGGGGGAAAAACCCAATGCATATTACAAGTAATGATAACAGTAATGTACTTTATTTCTATATTTCAACCAATTAACTGAAAGAAGCAGAATAGAGAAAAAATGTAGAAAGGGAAGATGATTGTTTGGGAGAAGTCAGAACTTGTTTCCCTTCTGACTCCACTTTCCCTTTCCTCTTCCTGTCTCTCCTCTTCCCTTCCCCTCTCTTCATGTCCTTCCCACACCCCATGCCATGTGTTACCTATGGAGGAGCAGGATCTACCCTGCGTTGTACACCTCCATGCTTTTGTAAAGTCACTTAAGCCTTAAAGTTGGGTGGTAGTGGTGGAGGTGGGTAAGATTAACCAAAGCTTTAAGAAGAAGAGAATACAGTGATTTAGTGACTGTTTTCAAAACTTATCATATTCTTTTTATTCGTTTTTTTTTTTTTCTTCAGATGGTAGACTTTGCCAGAACTTTTAAAAGTATTTGAATTCCCTCTTAATGATGAGATGACAAATAGTCTTGAAACCTTCTTACATTTTTAGCAGGGAAAAGTACCTAACTATAGGGGAATGTCTCATATCTCATTTTAGACTTGGTTAGGTGGTAGATTCTAGATTTGAGAAGAGCAAAATGACATTTCATTTTGTATTGTGAGCACTCTTTCCTAGAAATCTGAGAAAATTTTTCATATTAATTACTGTGGCAATGAATATTTAGTCTATCCAATGACCTGGGGTTAATCTGACTTTTAAATTACAAACCAACTTTGTGCTAAATGAAACATGGAGTGCTGGATAAATTATTTTTTGAATACATTCTTCACAGCCATTTCACCTGCTGATGTCAATTATGGAGAAACCCTAAGTACTCTTCGCTATGCAAATAGAGCCAAAAACATCATCAACAAGCCTACCATTAATGAGGATGCCAATGTCAAACTTATCCGTGAGCTGCGAGCTGAAATAGCCAGACTGAAAACGCTGCTTGCTCAAGGGAATCAGGTTGGGTTTTTCTGAGATTTATGGATAATTTTCTTTGAGTAATGGCATCTATTTCTAGATCTTAATGAGACAATTTTCTCGCTCATGCTATTGATTTGAGTAAATAAGTGCTAAGTAAAGCTTTGAATGAGTTGGCCAGTCCCTCGTTTATATCAACCTCTTCATGGCCTTTGCATTCATTACTAAACCTGAAATGATTAATAGTTATCAATTATGGATAGAAAATTTAGTATGCACTAGGATTAATGGCATAATCTCTTTAAGTGGAAAAAAATTGATATGCTTAGAGTAGTATTTAAAATTTCACCCATGCGTTTTATGACTTTAAAATGTGTTTTAACAGAATAAAAGACTTGCGTGAACACCTTTCTGAATGTCTGTATCATGTCACCTATTAGAGAGGTGGCTCTGATGGCTCAGGGATGCATGTGTATTACACACGTGACCTGGCTGAGATTTGGCCCCGGGTCCCTTGCTTGATTGTTGAAATGGCCTCATTTTAGAATCTGTTGGGATTCTAGTGAAGATTCCTTGTCTTTGTGATTTTCTCAGTAAGCTTCCTGATCATCTGCATTGTGTGTGTATAGAGTTACATTCTGTGATGAATGGTGGAAGTCAACTTCTAGTAGGCTTAGATATTGCTGTGAAGGAAGGCAACCTGTGAAAGAAAATGAAGGATAGCTTTTTAAAATGTTGAAATTAGACTGGAGTTACCCTGTTTTCTTAACTCATGAATGGATGTCTCAAGTATATCATGAAAAGAAATACTTTTCTCCATGTGCAAAGTGGTCCCTCTGGAGCAGTGCTTTCCATGTAGGATTATGTGGCACTTGAAGCTCTTGACATCCCATAAATGTTTTGAAAACATTGGTGGGATGAAAACCTCACTGAATTTCCCATGTCCTGAAATGTACCTGGCAGTTCTTTCCCACAGGATGGCAGACAGCAGTTGAATAGGAATTGGTCATTGTGCTTCAAAATATATATATGTATCTCCGCATGCATTTTACTTGGTAGTATGGAGCCTCCCTTGCCTGAAGGGAAGTTGTCAGAATAAAGAGTCCAGCTCTATGTGACCCTTATAACATGAAGATGAACCACAATAGTCATTTTCATTTATCCACCTTGTTATTTGAATCTTTTTCTTTTCTTTCTTTTTTGTTTTTGAGATGGAGTCTCACTCTATTGCCCAGGCTGGAGTGCAGTGATGCAATCTTGGCTTACTACAACTTCCATCTCCCGAATTAAAGTAATTCTCATGCCTCAGCCTCTTGAGTAGCTGGGATTACAGGTGCCTACCACCGTGCCTGGCTAATTTTTTTGTATTTTTAGTAGAGACAGGATTTTACCATGTGGGCCAGGCTGGTCTGGAACTCTTGACCTCAAGTGACCTGCCTGCCTCGGCCTCCCCAAAGTGCTGGGATTACAGGTTGGAATCTTGTTCAATGTTTTTAAAAAATTGTTTATATAAAGGAAGAATTTAATGATGATTTGATTGGATCACTCAAATTACTATATGTGAAGGAAAGTATTTGGAGAATTCTAGGTGCAACTTCTTTTTTTTTTTTTTTCCCATTTATTTATTTTATTGTATTTTAGGTTTGGAACTTCTTGTGCTTAACTTTTTATTAGGTTGAAAGAATGCAGGCCAAAAAAAAGATCTTTTTTAAACTAAACTGAGGAACTCATTGGAAGAAGCCTTATATAGACAGAAAACCTTTAATTTATTAAAACTTTACATTTTCTCTCTGAAAAATGTCTTCAGAGGTATTGGTATGCCATATAGTTGCCTTGTATTTTATAGTCTTTTTTCCTATTCCTTTTACGACCTATTACCACTGCAGTATTTAGGGAGTATTTTTGTTGCTGTAATTTTGGGAATGAGGATGGAAAAGACAGTTAAGTCTATTTTAGAACACATTGCAGACAAAATTTTTGATACATATTACAATAAAAATGTGAATTCAATTTAAAATAATTTATCATGCTATGAAGCTATAAATCATTTTGAGACAATATAGGCTTATCCTAAATTAATTAAATTTGTGATGCTTAATAAAAACAGCAGGTGTTCTTAAATGCCCATTAAACATCTCTGTATCCATTTTTCTGGGAGTATTACTCTATTCCTAGAATATTCTATTTGAGGTACTGCTGTCGTTCATTGAGAATGTTATTTATATCTAAGTTTCATTTCTAGGGTTATTTTTTTAAGCACTGCTAAATGAAAATCAACTTCTACTTTTAATAATTTTCTGTCTTTGCAGTGAGTCTTTAAAGCACCATTTTAGTAAAGCAAAAGATCTTGACATGTATTTGATTCTTTTATGCAGATTTAGATATGTAGATATATGTAGCAGTTTGTATATGTGAATTTTTATTGAGGTATTATATGTACCAAAAAATTGCAAGTTATATGTATATAGTTCAGTGAGTTTTCATAAGCTAAATTCACCCGTATAACCTGCTTCTACCTTAAGAGGCAGTGCAGCACTAGTACCCTAGAAGCCCCACTTAATCCTTCTTTTCAGGAGCTACTCCCCTTTCTCTCAAGGGGAGCCACTGTCCTGACCTCCACAGGCCTTGTTAGTTTTTATTTTTGCCTGTTTTTGTTCTTTATATAAATGAAATCATGAAAAAGATTCACTCTTTTGATCTCACTTTCAGTCAACGTTATGTTTGTGAGAGTTACCCGTGTTGTTACACGTAGTAGTAGATTCATCTGTTCTCACCTCTAAGTTGTCTTCCATCATACAAGTATATTGCAGCTCGTTTGTCCTTTGTACTTCTGATGGACATTTGAGGGATTTCCTATTTGGGGCTGTTAGTGCTTTGTGGACTTTAGATGTCTTTCAGTTAATATATAAATACATTGCTGTTAGATTTATGTCTGCAAGTGGAATTGGTGAGTCAGAAGGAGTACATATATTCAGTTTTAGTAGATATTGCCAAGCAATTTTCTAAAAGTAGTTGTGCCAGTTAATAGACCACCATAAGTGTATAAAAGTGCTGGTTCAATTCTTGGCAACGCTTGGTATTGTCTAGTTTTCATTGTAATCATCCTAATGGATGTATACTAGAATCATAGAATAATTTTACTTTCTACTTCTCAGGCGATTGATGAAGTTGGATATTTGAATATCTTCTTTTTTTAAGTGTTCTCTTTTATTATATTTTAAACATATTTTTAGATCTTTCTGCATTGAATTTGGCAGAGAGAAAATGTCTCTTGACTCCCTCATCTCTCTTGAATGTATCTGGAGACAACAAGTAAATTAAACAGTATAGAAATGAAAAACACAACCCAAGATGGGAAGCAAAGAAGATGATAGGAAGGGAAGATGAAAGTAGAATGAATTACTCACTTTTGTAGCTGAGATTAAAGATAAATTTTAAATAATAAAAGTATCATTATACGTAAACTTTTAAAGAAGACACATCTCAGATAGGCTCACAAAGTAAAACTAAATTATATGGTGTTTGTGAGAATGGACAAAGGCTTACCAGTGAATTCAAGAGGAAAGAAAGTGATGCAGGGACAGCATTGTGTGAGCTTAAAAAAAGAGCACTTTATCATGACAAAGGGTGCAACTCACAATTAAAATCAGACGTGACATCAACTTTCGTAAGTGAAAAAAACAACCAAACTGTTGGAAATAGCAGGAGACAGAGCCACACACGTTTGTCACAGAAAACTTTAACTCTTCTTTCTCATTCTGTGGAAGCTCAAGGAGACAAAAGTAAAGACATAGCATATTTACATAACGTAATGAAAATTTACTCTAATCAATACAGACGAGGGAAAAGATTGCTGTTCATGAAACAAAAGACTACCTTCTTTGTTAGGAAAAGAGGTTCTATGAAAACGTAAGACACCATTACAAAACAGCAGGAAAGGGAGCAAAGAATGTCAACACAATCCACAGAAAGAAAGAGTTTCAAATGCTTTCTGTACATACGAAAGTATGTTCAATGTCATTGAAATATAATAAATGCAGATTTTAAGAATAGTGAAATGGTTATACCTATACATGTTCATGGGTACATCAAGCAGTGGACCTTAGATTTAAGTATTTAGCTGTGTGTAAATGATACCTCCAAGTTCTCTCAAAGCAGGATATATGTATAGTTTATGTCCTTTCATCTGTTGGGCAAGGAGCAAAATTGATTATACAGTATGTTGATGATATTGATGGGGGTGTGAGGCAAGGGCTGCGTGTGTACATTGTTAGTAGAATTGCTATTATTACAGTTTTGTAATAGTGTTTTTGAGGTAGTGTTACTCTTGATTTAACAACATATGAACTTAGTCTGAATATTATTTGATTCGGAACGTTTTTCTTCTAAAAACACACCTTGCAAAGAATAATTTAATTGAAAATGGTACTTTTATAAACGATTTCTTTTAAAAGGATTTGGGAAGGTTGTTCTTTACATGTACTTAAAAATAATGTTCCAGAAGGGCTGGTGGTCATGAGTCTTTGTGCTTATATTCAGTCAGTGATTATCTACTGACTTGATAATGTGGCAGAAATGTTTCAGCTTTGATTATCAATAAAAAGTCTCAACAGTGGATTCTGTAAAATTACCCACGTTATAAAGGGCTTTCTAATTGTTTTGAAAATTGTCAACCATATATAAACAATGCAGTAATACTAACATCTGCCACTTTCATTTCTTCAGTGAAAAATATTTATTGAGTACCATCTGTGTGCAAGACAACATGTTAGATGCAATGATGCATTGTAGTAACGTGCTAACAAAGCTCCCTTTTCTTCACTGAGGATGGTTTTGACCTTGGGTTAACTTTCTGGCTTCATTCTATGCAAATCAGATAAAAGTGGGTTGACACCTGTCTAACTAGGCAACATTTCTAATGATGAAAATGACCCCTAATTGATGAATTACATCTGGATTTGGATGAACTGCATATATATGTTAACTTCCACTGAGAAGCCATAGCTTTGGGTTTCCTGGAGGGCAGTGACTCTTGTAACAGGGTGTATCCCTTGCGGGGACCCTGGAAGATGTGCCAGTGGCATTTTTGAAAGAGATACTGGGTCCTGTGGGCATGGGCTTCTAACCAGGGTGGATCTCACAGATGAGCATGTGAATCTCGACCCCTCACATACGAATGGTTACTCAGGAAGGCCAAAAACAATAGCTCGGGGACATCTGTGAGGACTACTGCACAGTGTGTCACAAAGACCTTGCCCACCAAGACGAACACCTGTGCTCCCTTCTGGCCAGCTCAGCTTTCTGTTCAGTACACAGATGCCAGGTGTGGCCCACAGTAGTCTTCGTAGTTTGAATATTTAACTGTGCCTAAGAAGACTACCTTGTGGGGGTTTTTGTTTGATGAGATATTGGAAAGTAAATAGGTCTTAAAAAAAATGCTGCCATATCTGGGGAGGACAACTTGGCAATTATAGAAAATAAAAACCAAACGTATAGATAACTCACAAATTCCTCCCTAGGAGTTTATTCTATTGATAGAGCCATGCATACTGTAGGCAATGGGCATAAGGATAGTCCTCCTGAAATATTAAGAAAAATACATTAATGTTAATATGAGAGCACTAACATGAATCATAGAATATCTATACAATGGAATATTGCATAATGGAATTGGAATTGTTAAAAAGAATGAAGCAGTTTTATTTTCACTGAATTTTTCTCCAAGATATATTGTTGAGTTAAAAAGGCAATATCCAGAATAGTGTTTTTACCCCACTTATATTTAAAAACACAACAAAAACACGCTTGCATATGACCAGACTAACTGTAAGTTTACACAACCAAATTGGGAAAAAGTGATTGCCCGTGGGTGGGTGGGAGGGATACTCTCTTTCTTTTTTCTTCCTAGGGATCTCTTAGGCCATGAGAAAAGGAGGCAGAATATGAAGCAGTGTCCCTGCCACTGAGGTCAGGGAGTCACATGTTACAAGTGCAGTTTAGGCCCCATCCTTGTTCCGTGTCCCTGTCCTGTCTCTGTCTGCTTATCCTGCTCAGTTCTAAACTGACTTTGGTATTTATCATTCTCGCATCAATCTTTACACTTCTTCAACAGGGATAAGGAAATTGATACAGAGACTGTCATGTAGCCATGCCATATGGGGTATGCCATCAGCAGTGAAAATAAATGCGTTTCATTTTCATATATCAACAAGGACAAATCTCGGATGCCTGCGGTTCAGCAAGACTTAGGCATCATCCCTTTTGAATGCTGTACTCTGTACATATTAAAAAAGATGAATTCTTAAGGTCTCGGGATTTAGATTGTGTTTGATTTTGGCAAAATGTCAGTATGTTACATCTTTTGCTTTGCTGATTTGTATTGCAGATGTAGGTTTTACTGGGATGCCATGGTTTTGAATATTATGAGATGTATCTCGTGAAATAAAGACTTGGTGATAATCAACACTTTTTGGCAGGGTGTAGGACATTACTTTTTACCTTTAATAGTTTCTGTCAAATTTTCGATAATTTATTCAGGAAAAAAATCTCCTAGATAATTGCTGTTTATTAATTGCTGATTTCTTTTATGGTTTATATTGTAGATTGCCCTCTTAGACTCCCCCACAGCTTTAAGTATGGAGGAAAAACTTCAGCAGAATGAAGCAAGAGTAAGTGATACTTTGACTTATTTTTTAAAATCGTATCTTTTACTATTAAGTGCATGCTTTTTTAGGACTCGCCATTTGAGATGCCTTCTTTTTCTTTACTGCACTTAGCCTCCTCCCTCCTTGGTGATCATTTTGCAAGAAGCATAATAGATGACTTTTTATGTATTGCAGCACATTCTCTGCCGTTTAATAAATGGAATTTGTCTGGCACGTGATGGTTAGTTGCAGTTAAATGGACATGCAGATCCTTCAAAGCAGTGAGGCTGCTCAGGTCATCGGAGTTGACTGGAGCAACGCTGTGTTTTCATGAAACAGTGGTGGTCCTCATGGCCTCTCAGTGACCACCCTTCAGCTTTTTGTTGTTTCCAGGGGGAAGAGTGGCACCTGAGGACTCTCTGATTACTCTCGTTAGGTGCTTAGTTTCTGTGAAGCTAGATGAGATTTGAGATGGGCGAGGGTGACCGTGAGTAACCAGAGAGAGAAGAGCTCTGGAGCTGTTACGGGCTGAAGCCAATGTGTGTGCTCATGCCTTTGAGAAACCAGTTTTATGGCTGACCTGCTTTCATACTTTTATTTTTTTAAAAAACTTCTGTGAAAAGAGAAACAGACATTCAAACAATTTTTGGAGTCGATTCTGTTCATGGTGCTGAATGGCTAAAACAGATTGAAAAAGAAAATTGGATTCTGTTGGTAAAAGCTTTTTCAAGAATACACAATTTGGAAGATAAAAATAGGGGTGTAGTTAGGAACTTGTTGATATATCTAGAATAATTATGCTGATTAATATCCTGATAATAACATTAGTAAAAACATTAATTTCTTATTCCTTATTTTGAAAGGAAATTTTATGTATTAGTGCTTCAAATTCTAATTTGGAGTGCTGTAATTTAAACTATATCTGGACATAGTGTTAAATTATTTCTTAATAGTTTTCATGAATACCAAGTAAGTTAATGGAAACCAATAAACATATTAATTTGAATGTATTATGCATGCTGTGACAGAAATGCCTATCTTGTTTCTAACATTTTCTAAATTATCATCTAGTTTTTTTGCTGACCCATTTTAATTGTTTGCAATTCGCTTGCATATAAATGTCATCACCTGATCCCACTATTAGATGTAGTAGCACGTTTGCATTTTTTAATTAATGTTTTAAATGGTTATTATTTCATTTAAATATAAAAGTAAAATAAATCAAAGACATACTTACTTTTTCTAAGCTAGAATTGTTTGAATTCAAAAAGGATTGATTTGCTCACATTTCTTCAATGAGAAATCTATCTGTTGGTGAAATGAAGGATCATTTATTGTTGGATGCTTTGTGTTCTCACATAAATTGCCAGTGATAGTCTGTTAACTGATGAGTATAAATTAGTAAATTCAACACACCAGGCTTTTCCCATTCTGGAGGGGGAGAAGGCATAAGAATAATCCTTCTCTGAAAGCTTTATTTTTTGAGACAGAGTCTCGCTCTGTCGCCAGGCTGGAGTGCAGTGGCATGATCCTGGCTCACTGCAATCTCTGCCTCCTGGGTTCCAGCGATTCTCCTGTCTCGGCTTCCCGAGTAGCTGACAACAGGCACATGCCAGCATTTTCAGCTAATTTTTGTATTTTTAGTAGAGATGAGGTTTCACCATGTTGGCCAGGATGGTCTTGATCTCCTGACCTCATCATCTGCCCCCTGGCCTCTCAGAATCCTGGGATTACAGGCATGAGACACTGGTGGGCCCCCTGAAAGCTTTTTCAAAACAAAAAGCCAGGAGAGCCACATGACCTGTTGCTATCAGGAGTCTGTAGGGTTGTTATCACTCAAGTAATGAAATGAAGGACTGGAGTGTAGAACTGGTTTAAGATAAATCGGGACAGTTTTACCAAACCAGTGAAAACAAGCAGGCTTAGGTGCAGTGGCTCACCAACCACTATAATCTCAGCACCTTGGGAGGTTGAGGCAGGAGGATTGCTTGAGCCCAGGAGTTCAAGATCAGCCTGGGTGGCTGATGAGGCCTCCTCGTTACAAAAATACAAAAATTATCTGGGTGCGGTGGTGTGCACCTGTAGTCCCAGCTCCTCAGGAGGCTGAGGTGGAAGGATCACTCGAACCCTGAGAGGTAGAGGCTGCATGGTGAGCCATGATTACGCCACTGTCCGCCAACCCAGGCAACAGAGTGAGACCCCATCTCCAAAAAAACCCAAAGACAACAACAAGCAAACAAACAAGCAAAACAGAGTTAGGGAGGCTATTCCAGTCCTATTTCCTTTGTTTTTCATCTAGAAGGTGATAGATTTTGGCACTAATAACTAGTAAAAGAAGTGACATTATTTATTTATTTATTTATTTTTGAGTTAACGTAGAAGTCCCACAATCTTATTTGAGGTAAATTGAGGACCCCTGAATGATTGATTATAGGTGAGTGAGATATATTTTGGTTTTCCTCTTGGATAAACCATCACTGCTGATACTTGTCAATAACTGATGCTATTTTTCATTAATACCCTTTCCAGTTGCTATCTTAGTGGCATATAGAAAGTCACTTTATCTTAGCAGTGAGAGTACAAGTAGATGTATTTTGTACATTCATTTTGTTCTGATTAAATAGGGAAACTTCCTGCGGAGACCAGGTAGCTTTAATGGGAGGGTGCCTGCTGCTAGGAGCGAGGAGGTGGCGGGAATGATGAAGATGTCGAAAGGAAAAGGCTTGGGAAGGATGAGTTCTCCCGTTTCTGGAGCTACTCTCTTGTAGACCTTGGTCTCTTCCTTTCCACAGAACACATTTTTCATTCATATTTTTTCTATCTTTCAGTTATCACTTTTTGTTTCCTAATGAATTAATTGCTAGGATCATTTATAAAGTTTTAGGGAACTAACAAAATATTTCCATGAACTTTGAGAAGCAGTTTCCAACTGTGCTGTGTTCAACAGTTGAGCATATTTTCTCCCCTAAGTTTGAGCCAACTGGAAAGAAGTGATTTTTATCAAAAGATTTTTGCTTTTACTAAAAAAGTCAATTAAAGAACCACCTTTTAAAAATAAAAGATAGAATGAGATTTATAAGCCCTATTAATTAGCTACAACAGCAAATTATCTCCTAAAGGAAAGCTACAGCATCCAAGGTGATTTAATCATCTAATTAGAAATAAAAATAAATTACTATTTTTTAGGACCTAAAATATAATCATGAAAAATTAACCCATTTAATGGGACGTTGTCATCCTTGAATTTGTAATTTTGGTTAATAATCCAAGGGAGCAGCTTTTACTTAAGCAGACCATGAATAAGGCTGTTGTGGAATTCTAGGCAAATTGACAAATCTCTGTCTGTTCTTTCCTTTGCCATAATGTAGGTTTTAGGATGAAATCAGCTTGTTTGATTTATCTTTGGTGATGGTTCTCTCAGGGGTAAAAGTTGCTGTCTCATTTAAAAAATTATAGTACATCTTTCCATGAGATATTAGAATTTGGAAATTATTTACAAGAAAATTATAAACTTTATGAAGCGCTCACGGATCTATATTTTTCTTTTTAGGTTCAAGAATTGACCAAGGAATGGACAAATAAGTGGAATGAAACCCAAAATATTTTGAAAGTAAGGACTAAAAAAAATGTGTTTAGTCTTACTATGCTGGATAAAACTGGTAAAACTTTTTTTTTTTTCTTAATCTCTGAACATGGCAGTGATATGGTTTGGTAAGGTAAGATCACTGGAGCCAATTAGTGACTTTCATGGGATGGGAGTTCTGGTTTGATATTGAAGAACCGAGAAAGAAGGCTGTTAGACATTATGGCTGTGTGTTTTAATATGTACAGATTATATTGGTATTTAAGATATTTGCCTTTACCTGTTGGGGTCTTTCCAGTTTTGACTCAGCACATATTAGAACTCTATTTAATATTCAAGAATATCCACTTTGTCTTTATGCTTCTGTTAAAGCCAATATCAAAGCAACACATTAAATGAAAAAAAATTCCCATGGCAATATTATAGAATATGCTTGCATAGCATGGCTAGATTTCAGAAATTTCAAAGCCACTAATTTCGTATCAAAATATTTTTCTGCACATCTCAAGGACTAGACTGGGATGGCCTGTGTTTCTGGCAAGACTCACTTTGAACAGATATGAGCAATAGCCTCCATTTATCATAATGCTTCCAAATACAAGTTTCTTTTTGTTCTTATTTTTTGCTGAGTTGGTAGAAAACCTCTGTCATCTATTAAGAGTCAGCCATGCAGGTTTGAGACACAAATTTGAATTTTGTGCTTTGTTGGTATCTGGCTGACTTTGTGCACAAGAGACAAGAATTCAGAGGCTATTGAATGTGAGGTTTGTTTTTGACGTCTGCTGAGGTAAAACTTTCCCAAAGAACAGAAATCTCCGTCTGATACTGATGAGACCAGATAGATGAGGTATGACTGAATGTCTTGGCAGAATCCTAACGTGGATCACCTTTGTGTGAGGATGGCACATCTAATTACTATTTCACAGGATAAGCTTCTGCAGCCTTGGATCTGCAGGTGAGTTCTGCATCTGACAACTGTTTCAGAGCACCGGCTCAGCATTCTATTATGTAACCTTCTCATTGCACCACTTAGGCAACTTGGCTTCTCTGGTGTTAGGAAGATTGTATCTCATGAGATCAGAGTTTGTGCTTAGGTTTTAGATGGTGGTAGGTTGTGATGGTACTAGAGATATCCTTTCCAGCTACTTCTGTACTACAAGAAGTGAGGGTTTCTGCTTTCAGACTTTTCTCTCTTTCTGATTACAATAATGATGACATATTATTTTGAGGTACTTCTGCAGTGTTTCCTTTGTTGAGAGATTTTTGTGCAGAAAACTGAGCAAAGACTTCATTCATATTTCAGACTAGTCAGATGTGGAATAGATTCGCCAAAGATTGAACTTGGTTGTTATTTAAGTTGCATTCACTGTAAGAGTTGTTGAGGCCCAGGTCATTTGACTTTTCACGATACCATGTAACATTGCTCAGGAAATTTGTCAAAGAAGGAGGACTAAAATCTGCCCTACCTAAGGAGGAAAGGAAATCAAACCATTGGCTATTTGAAAAGTCATTAGTAGCAGTAGTGCCCATTAGCACTGGAGGCAGTGCAGCAAGAGACGAAAAGATGGAGGCTCTGTCTCTGCTGCTGCAGCAGCATCCCTCTATGTCACTGCAGCATCCTTCCATGTCACTGCAGCATCCCTCCATGTCACTGCAGCATCCTTCCATGTCACTGCAGCATCCTTCCGTGTCACTGCAGCATCCCTCCGTGTCACCGCAGCATCCCTCCGTGTCACCGCAGCATCCCTCCGTGTCACCGCAGCATCCCTCCGTGTCACC